ATGTTTTCTCATTATGCGTCGACGCAAAGCCTGTATGGGTCGACGCGTCGCGCGATTTTTCTGAAAAATCTCTGTTTTGATGAAACGTTCAAATTGTTTGACCCATTTAATGCATTCACTCTTTTTATGTATTCAAACATCATCATTAGCATTTACATTGGTACTTTGCACCTACTAAAGGCTACTCTCTACATATCCTCTTCCCAAAAACCCTTTCAAAACCTAATTTTACTATATATCAAGGAGTATAGTGAGTTTCTCCTCAAACACCAAAAACTCTGTTTTACTATTCATCTTCTTCAAAGAATTGCTCCCATGGCTACATGAAGAGTAACAGGGAAAATAACATCCAGAGATCCATCCGCTCAAGCTGGTACTTCAAGAGTTGCTCTACCGATAACCGCTCTCTCTCTTTTACCTCCTGAATACACTAAACTTTATGAGAAAAATCTGAGTAAGAGATCAATTGTCAAACAATATGTTTATTATCGAAAAGCTACTGAAAGAATGCACATCCAAGAAGTACTTGAACTTCTGGATGCTCAGAATTTCAACAAGTTTTTGGAATGCGATAATAAATATAATGAGGACTTGGTCAGAATTTTCTACTCTGGTCTTCAAGGAAAATTCAAAGGTTTTGAGTTCAGTACTAAGATTGGAAATAATAAATTCTATGTCAATGACTCTGTCTGGAAAGATCTTTCAATATGTCTCTTATAACTGCTGATCCGCGATTAAGGTCACGGATACTCAAACCGTGGACGGGTATGAGTTCAAGGAAGCATTGAACTCCATGCTAAAGAAACCATATGCTAACGACATTGTTGCTAGCGACCGTTTTCCAAAATCAGTCACAACTGGTAGGTTGAAGCCGGTTGACAGAGTTTTACAATGAATTCTCTCGCACATTCTTCGACCTAAAAAAGGTGGTTATTCTAGGGTTGACCAAGCTAAGGTTCACTTGGTTTAAATTCTGAAAAAGAAGATCAAAGTTAACTGGCCTCACTATATTGCGAGTAGAATCTACTCTTTGAAATACTCTGGCCGAGGGATCGCACTGTCATATGATTCTTTCATCCAATTTGTCCTCAATAATGCTAATGTAGTAGTACCCGGTATCCCATACACAACCTTGACAACTGACCAAGAGTTTTGTTAAAAGACTCTAACTATGATGGGTTATATTTGGGATCCTCACGACTCACGCTACAGATTTATTTTTAAGGCAACAAGCTCTCGACTGCGGGAATTTGATGAGAGTGATAAAGACGAAGAAGAAGAAGAAGGAGAAGAGGGTGGAAATCACATGGATACTGATGAACATGATAACAGTGGTTGGCTAGATCAATCACCCCATTTGGAATTTGATGGAAACCAAGGATGAGGTGTCTGGCAACACACGGGTTGGACTACACTTGGTGAAAATTGCATGCCTCAAGCAACGAATTGGGATTATCAAGAGACACCTGATTGGAATTACATGCCTTCATCACCTCCGCGTCCCCAACAGAACAATGAAGAACTCCTCGAAATAATGAGGAGCATACTGCAGCTCGAACAACAAAACTTTATCACTGCCTAGGATGAGCAATTCACAAATTTGCAGAATCAACTTCAGGCTCACACGAATAACTTCAACTCATTCGCAACAACAGTGATGGGTCGTTTTGATAGCATGGTTGAATCTGCTGCAGGTTAAAACCATGCTCTCACTACTAGTTTCAACACTCTTAATCGAGTTGTCCTAAAGCTTACAGAGCGGATAGATGAGCAACAACTTCCTTCATCTCATGACTATCCATTTCGCGAAAGGGGCCGTCATTTTAGGGGGAGGAGTCCTTGTATATCATTGTGCATGTTATTTCATCTATTGTTCATCGCATTCTAGTGTTAATATCTTCTTATGTTTGTTTGATTATCAAGACATAAAGCTTTGTTAATCTTTAATATTTGTAATGGCACATACTTCTTTTGATCATTTGTGGTGTTATCTATTTATCCTTTTATATGATTTCATTAACTTCATTATATGTGAATGTTTGTTAATGCTATCCTGTTGCAAATTTGGTGAATATGCTTATCTCAATATACTATGTCTTTCGTTGACCTATATCTTCTTTCTTTTTGATGTTGTCAAAGGGGGAGAAGAAACCAAGCAGAAACAACAAATCACTTTACAAGACTGATCAAACATGCAGATCGTTTCTAGATAAATGCATAGAGTAAGGGGGAGGATGATACTACACATTATGCTCAACTATATTTCTACTGTTTTGCAATCATCAAAAATGGGGAGTATGTGAGGGCAAAGTGTCTCTACTTCGTTATACTTGTTTTAATCATGTCAAAACATATATGGTTAGAAAAATGTACTTTGGATGGTATCATCGAGTCGCATATGTGTAGAGGGGAAATTCGTGAGTGTAAGCAATTGATTAACTTAATTTAAAAATACAAGAGTCGCCACCGCACTTTTATTTTATCTAAAAAAAAGAAAGAAAAAAGAGCGAACAAAACCAAAGAGTTCTAAAACAAGAACAAATAAACAAAGATCGGGATAAGGGAGTTGGTTACGCAATGGGAAGGTGTTAGTACCCAAAACATCTATAGTCAGGCACGAATCCACATTAATGTCTTTGGGGGCCGTTTCCCCCACTTGGTTGTTTATAATATTACAAAAAATTTCAATAATTTTATTTTTTACTAAATTAAAATAAAATGTTGCCCCCATAAAAAGTTCAATATTTTTAAGACTTTAATAGTTATTTATTAAAGTGTAATAAAATTTTCTACTATAATCCAATAAAATTATATCATTCTATTATATCATACAAGTAATTTAAAATTTTCAATCTAATTTGACGAAATAAATGGTCGTCGTAAATATTATATATTTATTTTATCATTTTTATATATATATATACATATATATATATATATATATATATATATATATATATATATATATATATATATATATATATATATATATATATATATATATATATATATATATATATATATATATATATATATATATATATATATATATATATATATATATATATATATATATATATATATATATATATATATATATATATATATATATATATATATATATATATATATTTTTTTTTTTTCCCACAAATTAAAATTTCTAGGTCCATCTCTGCTTGTTTCCATTTGATGTTAGGTTTACGGTGTTTTAGTACAAGTGGTATATTTTAATTATTTGTTTTAATAATTTTTTTTATTTGTATATTTTAAAAAAGACAAAAAAAAAATCATTTTTAACCATTTATTTTTTTAAAAATTTCTTATTTCTAGTTTTAATTAGTTATTTGATATTTAAAAATTAAGAAAAAAGTGTTATTAATTATTATTAATTGATTTAAATATTTTTATTTAATATTGATTAATTAAATTATTAATTAATCTTATTAAATATGTATATTTAAGTTAATTAATAATTCTTTTGTCGCCTAATTCTGTTTTGCGATTTATGGTCTGCTTCCATGTTTTGCATTTTTTCTCGATTAATTCTTGATGCTTTGCCTCGATTAAAAGATAAAGATCCATCACTAGAATGGACATAATATGGACTGTTAGAAGTAGGTTCTAGTGGTAGAATATGTGGTGGAGCCATGGTGGAAAAAACTAGAAGAAAAACGATGAAAGAAAATAGAAGAGTGGATGGATTATGAAAGAATTGAAACAAGTTGATCTATGAATGCGTTTGATACCATGTTAAGAAACTAAACACTTTATGAATGAAGCTTGAAAATGCATACGAAGTTGTGAAACTCCATGAATGGAGCATAGAGAAAACAAAGAAGATGATGATGAAGGGAAGCACAAAACTCTTGTTATTCAATTTGATGAAGTAATGACATTATACAATCATATATAGGCAACAAACTTTAACTACCATAGTAGTTAGTTGTAACTTCCTAACAACTTTTCATAAAGGGATAAACTACCTAACAGAATTATAAAAAACTGTTATATATGGAAAGTTGTATATCAAGCAACCATTACACATAGATCAAATATATTGCTAAACCATATTTTAACACACAGGACCCGACCAATTAGATTCAGCCCATAAAACATTTATAAATATTACTCTCAATATGTATTGAATACAATTGTGTCGTAGAAAATAATTACTCTCAATAGGAGCAATTGCAGGAGCAGCAGCACTGATAGTAGTGGTAGTAGTAGTGGTAGTGGTAGCCGCCTATATTTGTTCACATATTGTAGGTGAGTGGTAGGAAGAAGATAGTGTCAGAAGGAAATGATACCAAGCCTTATGAATAGATTTCAAATTCACATTATAGAGTCCATTCATTTTCACTAGTTCAACGGATTCATTATGTTCCTTTGACAGTGAAGAAGGAAATGATACCAAGCCTTATGAATAGATTTCAAATTCACATTATAGAGTCCATTCATTTTCACTAGTTCAACGGATTCATTATGTTCCTTTGACTGTGAGGAACTCCCTCGGAGCAGTTAGGTCCTCATCATATATTTTTTCTAACATGTTTTGGTAGGTTTCTTGGACTTCATAAATCTCAAAGTGCTTAGTGATATGGCCTCGGATTAAGAAGCAACCTTTCCACAAATCACACTTCTTTTGACTTATGGTGCCCATATAGAGTTTGCTTCCTCAAATGGTTGGTCCAAACATTGGCAGTCTTGGCTTTTGGCAATTCTAACATACTACCTTTTTTTCCCTCTATTTTTAATACTATATATGAAGTATGAGGTGCCAGACAGATTGACACATGTTATACATAGATTCAAATACAACAACTTCATGCACAACCAATTGCAAATGAAGGGAAAATGCAGCTACTTAGTGGTTAATGTATTAATTCGACCACAAATTTAATTATTCAAGAAAATATACTCATCAATTAGGGTACCAATACTTATATAAAAGTGCATGTGTTGAACTTGTTGAGAGGTTCTAAATAAGCTCATGATCACTTATGGACAAAGATTTCAAGCCACACTTGCTCATGATATTAGGCCAGTTGGGCTATACATTGTTATATTTTATTACTGAAGCTTCCTTCAACCATGGAATGAGTCCTTACGTCTATGTTACCTATCGCCATGTTGTTGCTGGTTTTGTGATGCTTCCTATTGCATACTTTCTAGAAAGGTACATGCATACACATTGGATGTTACTATCAAATTTAGCACTCAAGTCATTTCAATTAATCTCATGATAATCGTTTTTCTTGCAGAAATGTAAGACCAAAGCTGACATTTTCTCTTTTTACGGAATTTTTTGTGCTTTCAGTCTTAGGGTAAGGAGAAATGATAAACAAACACCATGTTATTACACTGTATGTATATACAAGTATGAAAACATAATCTGTATAAAATTGCAGGGTAAGTTTGACTCTGAATATGTACTTTGCAAGCTTGAAGTACACTTCTCCAACATTTATTTCTTCCATGGTCAACTGCATAGCTTCCCTTACCTTCATTATTGCAGTGGCTTTCGGGTTTGAGGTTCTAGATCTTCGAAATCCTCACGGTATAGCAAAAGTGTTTGGGACCTTCATATCCTTAGCCGGTGTTATGACCATGACACTCTACAAAGGACCTATTATGAGCAATTTGTGGCGTCCTCTAATTAATATTCAACCAACAAGTGATAATTCTGTTTATGCGAGCGAGTTAAAGGGTTCACTTCTTACCGTTTCATGCTGTGTTACATGGTCTATATGGTACATTATGCAGGTACTTACCTTAACTACGCATTAGTTTTTGTAAGTTTTATGTAAACATCAATCAGAAATTGTTACAAGTCTAATATCATGCTTGGAATTGGAAATTTCAGGCATCCACTCTAAAAAGATACCCTGCTCAATTATCACTCACTACATGGATGTGTTTTATAGGAGCAGCACAATCAGCTGTTTTCACAGTGATAGCAGAACATAATAACCATACAGCATGGATTATAGGGCTCAACATTGACTTATGCTCCACAATATATGGGGTTAAGTATTATAATCATGTCATAAACAAGTACTACAAAATCTTGAATTCTAACTTTATCTATTATTAATGACAGGGAATTGTTGTTAGTGGTTTGTTGATGTACATTCAACTATGGTGTACTGAGAAAAAAGGACCAGTTTTTGTCACAATGTTTAACCCTCTTAGCACCATATTTGTGGCAATTCTGTCATTCTCTGTCTTTGGTGAAAAACTTTATTTGGGCAGGTAACATGCAATGACTCATAGTTCATTTCATAATAAAAAACTAATGAAGTTGAATTTTATCATTGAATAATATTTTAGCATAATTAGTTATAATTCTGAAATTCAACTCATAAAATTTTCAGCATCATAGGTTCATTTATTGTCATCATGGGTCTGTACTTGTTGCTGTGGGGGAAAGAAGGTGACAGAGAGGTTGATTTCAAGACCAAAGGTAAATTGCAGTGCAATAGTGAAAATCCAGAATGCAGAATATAGTCAGTAACTTTAGCTGGAGAGGTAGAGGCGTACATCAAAGTGAGAGAGAATAGAATAAAGTTTGTACATCTTGAGGATTGTCAGTTTATCCTGGCAATATACATTTTGTGCAAAATCAAGGCTTCACAAACCTCTTTTTCACCGGGTTTACTATTACAAGACAAAATTTCATAATATATACCAATCAAAAAGATCTAGCAATGTAAAATTAAACAGTGTATAATCGAGTGTTCATGCAATTAAAAAGATCTAGCAATGTAAAATTAAACAGTGTATAATTGAGTATTCATGCGATCAAAAAGATTTAGCAATGTAAAATTAAAGTGTATAATCGAGTGTTCATGCAATTAAAAAAATGATAATAATTCAGAATAGTTATACTGACCAAGAAGTACAACCAGTAACAAAAATAAATAAAGTGCTAATTGAAGGTAAAAGAAAGGAGAATAGATAGCTGATCACAACAAGTATAGAATTATCAATAAGGCTATGCTAGAGAAAGCAAACTGAAGCTAGCCAACAAGCCATATTGAACTGCAAAGAGGTAAAATTCAGCTCTGTCTGTCACTCCTGCACATGGTGATTATAATCTTACTATACGTGTGAGTTGTATCTCAACTCAATAGATATGAATTTCTAATGTATGTGTGTAAACCTCATTTGAGAATTGAGATATAGATTCATTATGATAAATCCCTATTTAATATGATGAATCTCAGTTTATTATGATAATCACTACCAAGCCATAGTTTAGCCAACCTCTTTTGTGCCAACTACATTTCTTGTCATTTGGTTTATTATGACTTGAACTATTTTGAAGAAGTGGTGGAGGAGGAGATAGTATGTTCAAGACTTCAAGTTTAATATATCTTCATTTCCCTAGTCTCCACTGCAAATACTACCACCTGGTCAGAACCCATTCTGAATCTCTTAAAATCAGCCCTAGTGATGCTGACAACGTCACAGTCACCAGGAGCTGTAGGCTCATGAGCAGTTGGTTAATAGAGGTAGTTGCAGGAGAATGAACTTCAATATATTGCAGCAAAACTAAAAACAGGGCACAAAGTGAAACCTCAGAGACCCTGACATCGGATGGAGGTTCAAAGCATGCCCGGGTGAGTGGACTGTATGGAAACAGAAGATAGTAATGGTGTGGTTTAATGTAGGATGGGAAGGTAAAAGGTCAAAGGAGAAAGTAGTGAATGGTAGATGAGTTCTAGGTATGTAGTCACTCACTTGTCTTTGGTGCTAGATAGGTAAAGGATGGTGGCGGTCCTTCTCTTCCTGCATTGGCTGTATTCAATGTTAGGGGTTTTGATGATGGATGGTGCTTCATAGAAGAGATTCCATGGTGGTTATTAGAGGGGAACTCTAGCTTGTAGGTGGCTTTGGCTTTTTTAATGGTTTGTTGGCTAAGGTGTCAGAGATATTTTGATTGAAAAGCTATCCTTTCTAAGAATCAATAATAAAAAAAAAGCACGCGGTCTTAACTGCTACATAAAAAACAGCTTCATGTTTCAAATAGGTAGAACAAACATATATGGTCCTGTGGTAATTTCAAAGAACATAATACAGCAGCTGATAATTCCATATCAAAAGCATCCCAACATGTTTGGTTTACATATTTTTTTGTAACTAGGACACCGTCTAAAAGTTCAATAAGACAAAAGGAGAGAAAGAAAATGCAAAGAAATAAGGAATGGATAGAACATCTGTAAGACCCCGCTACAAATGTTTTTACAACACGATAAAATCATCTTTCATTTTTGTTCTTGAAGCTTGGCATCTTCTACTCTTTACAAACGACTGAGTCAGGAAATACTTTATATTACTACTTGGCCTTTTTAGAGCCACCCTTCTTAGACCTTTGTGTTTCATGTTTTCTCTTGGAGGTAACACCGTTAGCCACAGTAAAAGGGGTAGACTGAGTTGGCACATGATGCCCATGAACCATAGCAGGGAACCCAGCAGCAGGGATTCTGCAATATTAATATGATCAATATTTGTAAGCAAGTGATAATCTAGTTAACATGAACTCCATTAGAGATGCGTCATTGATATCATTCTGCAACATTAATATGATCAATATTCCTAAACAAATGATAATCTAACTAACATGAACTCCATTAGAGCAGCTTCATTAAACTCTCTTTGAATGATGTCAACATTAGAATTGACATGTTAAAATGTTTTTCTATTTATTTAGCATGCATAAAGGGACTCCACTTTTTCAGAGTGTATTGAAATATCCATGTTTTACATGTATTTTACATATCCAGATTACAACAAAAGGAGGTAGATTTCATGAAAAAGACCAACAAGTAGTTTTGTGAATTTTTATACATACAGCCCACGGTTTTTCCATTTAGACACAAAAGCCTAAACATCATTGATATCAATCCGAAGAGCAGCCAGCCTAAAAAACGCTATAGCTGGGTGACCACTATTTTGAAATTTCTGCCCAGTTTGTATACTGTTACTACATATCTAAAACCTCAACAACTAGCTGTGATCGAAAAGCGAGAGTGTGAAATATTATGGCACGAATGAGATAGTGAGAGAGGAAAAGCCCAAAACATTGTTATCATGATGTTTTTCTAATTGCAAAATTCCTAGAATAGCCCAATCAAAATGCTATAAAATTAAAATTTATGGGATTTTAGGAATTTTAGATCTTATTATGAAGTTAGGCGCAAAAACAGCCACCATACTAAATTGCTCTGATACTATGTGTCTTGCGGCGGCCAGGGGCTGCTTTGCTACAGTGCTATTGCTAAACAAAAACTGAATTCACTCAATACTTCGATTCTGCAAAGTCAACTAAAAAAACCTTAAGACATTTTTAACATTTGATCCGCAGAATGTTCAGAAAACAAAGCAGTTAAGAGACTTGCAAAGGGAATAATTTGAAGGTTAAAAAAGCTTACTATACCTAAAGGATTGCATAAACTTATTTGTGAAAACGTGTCATTGAAGATTAAGGTTATTGCTTGGAAAACTACTATAAAGCCAATACATGAAACCAAAAGAGCATTAGTAGAAGATCTATTCATTAAAAAATAAGCTAATTTTTTAGGCCAAACAACCACAACATGAAATAGTGAAACCAAATCAATCAAGCAAAGTCATTGTTATCCTCCATATGGTTTTACTTCAACCCATTCAATTAGACATACCAAAAATTGACAAAGAAAATAGGAAAAGAGACAAAGGAAATATGATTTGCAATTGCAAGGCTTACCCAACAAGAGCACAGCAGACTCCTGCATGGTCATGGAAGCACCAAATGCACCACGCGATTGCAAACATAGGCGCAAAGCATGGTTCTCAGCATAACAGCACTGGAGCAAATGCTCCAGTCTTCTGTATTCCCCTTCAAAATACCTACTCTTGCTCTCAAGGTTTTTTACATACATCTTCTTCCTCTCTCTTGATTTCACAGCAGCATCCCTGTTCCTCATCTGCCTGAAAATTGGATACCAAAAACATCTCTTTAGAACCATAATCACCACATCAGGCACCATGAAATTATTTTGAAACGCCTAATCTGAGAATAGTTTACATAGACATATGTTTACCTTATTTGCTTCTTTGACACGGGTTCATGAGGAACCTCTTCGGGGGTTAATGGATCAACTCTGTCTTTATCAGAAGGAGTCAAACTTTCCTCCGATTGAGGGAGCGGCTGAACGAGAATCTCCTCCAGAAGCTGATCATAGTCGGAGTCCGGCGACGCAATTCCTTCTCCGTTGTCGAAATCTGTCATGAGCAAGTTCTCAATCTCCGACAGATATGAATTTGGCGAGGGAGTGTCTGCAACGGAATCAGGAGGATTAATTTCATCCTGAAAAAAATCGGCGGCTTCAAGCTCGGGTAAATCATGGAGAATAGATTCCCAATCAAGTTGATTTAATGAGTCTTGTTCTTGTAAAACGTCCATGGAGAAAGAAGATGATGGTGGTGATTGATTTAACGGGGTTAGTGAAGGTTATGCATAAAGAAGATGATGGTGGTGATTGATTTAACGGGGTTAGTGAAGGTTATGCATAAAGAAGAAGAAGAAGAAGAGAAAGAAAAAAAAAGTGAAAAGAGGATTGGCGTTTACGCAGTTAGGATTTTATTACTTTTTGACAAGTACGTTTTTGAGTCTTGTCTTGGTGATTAAGGAAAATATCAAAACCTGAGGGAGGAAGGAACCGCGTAGATGAAGTCTTATGCCATCACTCGCCCAATCAGATTGCTTGTAGTGGAACCAATCTTACACGCGGGGCCCCCGTCTATCACAATTCTTACTATTTACACTCATATCTTGCCTTTTTAATTCAATAAAAATATATCGGCAATATGCATGGTCATCATCCATTTTTTTTTAAATAGATGATGAAATAAGTATGTTTTATTCCAATTTAATAATATTGATATTTTTTACAAATTTTTATATCATTTATAACTTATATTTAAAAAATGCATCTTTATTAAAAACTCAACAATTTAAATTAAAATAGGACATTCGTCTTATTTGTGAACTATTTATTTTTAAAAACATATTTTATTAAGGATTAAAATAAGGATTTACAAGTGGACTTTAAGCCAACTTGAATAAATAATATTTTTAAATAAAAAACTTGAACTGTTTCTCTACTTTCAAATCCTAAATTTAGCAAGCATGTTCTTCACAACATTATTGTCTCTTTGGATTTATATGAACTTCACTCTATTAAATTTGTCTTTCATCTACTATATGATTTTGCATATCATACCAACACTGATAATGGGTAAGTTTTCCTTGCCAGTATTCATCATATTAATAAGAGTCAAGTTATCTGATCAAAATTCAATCTTTTGATACTTACTCTAACTTGCAATCTTCATCGCCATTTTCATCACCATGGCTTCTGCTTCTTGAAGGTCTCTACTGCCTTGTTTCCGATCTCAGGAATTTAGGATGGTTTAACCAAGTTCATTACAAACAACCACGTTTATCCTCTCATAAGCCCTCTTCGATGAGACTAGCATTTGAATTTATCTCCAGCCAACCAACTTCACGAGGTATCCACTTTGTGCTTTTATTGTTTTCTTCTTCGTTTCTTCCTGTTAACTTCCTTTGAGTCTTCTCATCTTTTTGGTTATTTGTGTTTTTAAGGGTGTCTTTAGTTATAGTTTTTAACTTTGATTTATGAAAGCAATTATCCTCCTTGTTCTTTCCTCTTATCTTATTCTGATTCTTTTTATGCAGATTTGTTAAAAGATGTTTTTCCCCTTACATGTTATCTTTTACGTCGTTTCTGCTATCGTGGGGCTTGTGCATGTTCCTCCTCCCTTTTAAACTTATTAGATATAAGTTGTTTCTATCGTTACTTAACCTAGCTTCATTTCCCTAAGGCATGTCTTCAAAAATCCTCATGTTAATATTATCAAAGTGAATAATAATGTTGATTGTTTTGGTAGCTTCTTCAAGATTCACTTTTTTCTTATTACTTACGTTGTCCTCTTGTTGCTTATCAATCATTCCAAGAGCAAGCTTACTTTTGGACTTGCATCTCACATCTGCTTTAAGAAGGTCATTTTTCTCATTAATCTATTGGTTTTAATGATTAAGATTTGTGTTACATGTGTTGATCGTTGATATTATGCTTCTGAGTTTGAATCCATTTTGTGAAGGTTAGTCTTATGGATGACTTCATTAATCTTGTGACTCCTCTTATCACTCCTCCTTTGGTGGGTATGTCTTCCTTGTCATTATTCATCATATTAATAAAAGCCTACTTAAGTTTTATCTGCATACACTACAACAAATAATGCTTTTTATGACAAAATTTTCACAATGAATAATATAAAATCGAGAGTATATGTATCGGAAAAACCTTGATTTTAAAAAAAATAATTTGTTACCTTGGTTCTTTGTAAAGTCAACATAACAATATGCTCAATGTTTGAGATTTGATTCCTAGCTCCTGTAGTTTTATGTTTTATATGGAACCAAATAGGCGCTTTTAATTTCCATACATTTTACATTTGATATGTTACCTCGGTTTTTAGGAAAACTGAGATATACATAGTCTCTAATTCTTTATTCTCTTTAGAATAAAAAAAGGCACCTTTATTTTTTAAAGTTTTGCGTCGGATGTGTTACTTCGGTTTTCAGTAAAACCGCGATAAAAATTCTTTATATTTTTTATTCATTCAATGTGTACCTCATTTACTTCTCGAGGCAATGAAAGAACACTTATTCTCCAAGGAGCCCTGGCAAAAGAACACTTCTTCTCCAGCTAACGAACGGACACTTATTCTTCAAGGAGCCCTAACGAACGAAAGAACACCATTATTCTCTGGTATGTTATTATTGTTGTTTTTCTTATTATTGCTTTGGTCGATTACTATTGTTCTTATTATTCTCGATTATTGTTGTTCTTATGTATTATGGATGTGTACTATTTTTTTCCAGAAGCTTTATGTGATTATGGATCGTAGTTGAATGAAAGTCAATAGATTAAGTGTAGAGTATGAGAATGGATTGAAACAATTTCTTTATTTCGCAGAAAAAAAATCTTCCTGACAATAATGGGAATTTTTATTGTCCTTGTAAAAATTGATTTAATACAAGAAAAACATCATAGGGATGTTATATTCATTCATTGTAGTTGTGATGAAATTATTCAAAATGACACAAAATAGGTATGGCATGATCAAATGACAAATAAGAGACATTTGTCACATACAATTGAAGATGATGAAGTTATGAATGATACCCTACAAGACATCATTCGTGATATTGGAATTTATGCTTTCAAGAAGACATCATTGGTAAATACTTTGCAAAGAGACAAGGAAGATTCGTTATATCCGGGATGTAAAATTTGTACAAGATTGTTAATCGGAAAAATAGCAAGTATATTATTTTGCCAATGTAGAATAAAAGAGAATTTCCCCAAATATCGATCTCGAGGATTGCATGGGAATATAAGTTCTGATTTCAATTCAATTAAACAAAAATTACTTAGGGGTTGATGATTGTTTTGTGAAATTATAAAACAATTGCATAAAAACAAAGAAAATATATGAGTGGTTTAGAAATTATATGAGTAGATTATGCTAGCGATGGTGTGTGATATGACTCAGTAATAACTCTAAATTACACTGCAACAACTTATTGTAACTAATTAATTACCGATTCTTTAGAATGTTTACTCCTAAGTCTTTAGTGAGAAAACCTTTAATCATCCACCCTAATTCCTATGTCCATAGAGAATTACAGATGAAATTAAGCAATCAATTATCAAGAATATTCTGGTTCCTATAGGGTATCCCTAATCCTAGGTGATAACCACTACATAATGATCCAAAGTAAAGCATTAACAACGACGGTCCAGTCTAATCGTTAATAAAAAATCAAACCCTGTTTGTCCGACAGGGCAAGCATTAAGAATAGCTAGAGATCAAATTAGTTATGAAAAACAAAGGAATTTTTATTGCAATACTAATATCATAGTCATTACAGATTTAAATCAAGAACACCCCCTAGCATTGGGGGGTTTAGCTACTCATAATATTCGAAGAAAATACAAAGTAAATACTAGACATTACAAGATAATAGGATTCTTTGATCTTCAATTACTTCCGCTCATGAAAACCTTCAGCTCCCCAATCACCTTGATCTCTCCAATCTTGATCGTGTAATTCTTTCTTAGTCAAAAGTCCCTTTTTCCTTCTCAAAAAGCATCTAAAATACTCCCAGGTCCAACACAGCAGTAGGAAAATGCCCAAAATACCCTCATGGGTCACACAAGTAAAAAATCCAAGAAAATTATAAGATGAAGCGCTTCATCCAACATGGGCCGTGTTAGCCCCTGGCTACCTGATAAAATCTATGCATGCTCCAGATTTGCTGACACGGGTTGTGTCAGGTGACACGGGTGGTCGTGTCAGGCCATTGTTTCCCTTCCAAAAACTCTTCTGAAATCTTGTGATTTTTTTGGTTTTTGCTCTGATTCTTCCTAATTGCTCACCTGAACCTAAAAACAAAGGAAATATAAAACCAGCGCATAAAATGAAATAAAATGCAACTAAACACATAAGAAGATTAGCTAAAACTAACGGTAAAATAACACCTAAAAACCACTGATCAAACTCCCCCAAACTTAAACCTTTGCTTGACCTCAAGCAACAAGCTTGCATAAAGATTTTTCAGATCAAATGGTACACATCAAATAAAAGACTTGTGAAGGTAAGGTGTGTTGATACTCATACGTGAGCCTTTGTTCCAATCGACTAAAACTAGTTCTCTTGGTAATCGTCTGTTAACGAAGGTATTACACAAACACATACCGCAGTAAAACCACAGACATAAATCCCCCTTTCGGTCACCTCTCCAACTATTCTTTTTGCTTAAGTATTTTGTTCGATTTTCTACCCTTTTATTCAGATAATCAGATTAAGGAACTTTTGGTCGCTTTCCCTCACATGTACAAAATTTGATCGAGACTTTTTTGAGGCACCTTTATTATTTTTTTTCTCGCGCACTGGCATTTATTAGCCCATTTTGAGATGACTATAGAGATTCAACCGCCGTTAGGCAAAATAACCGGTGAGGGTTACCCAAATTAGAAGGATCAGTTGTCTTTACCGTCATTATTCATCATTTTTTTGGTGTCATAAGTCATTCTTTCAATCAACTTTATACATGCAATTCTTTTTAATCATGTCGGACCATCATTATGAACTATTCAAGGAATACTTCTCAAATCCAAGTACTATGGCACAAATCTACATGTTGGACTCGTTTCCTTACTCCGAAGAATCTAGGGTGTTCAAGTTATACCTCAATTTCCAAACTTTCCCAAATTTAAACCTAGTTTTAGCTCCTCTTCCCTCAAACTCTATATATTTTCCTGACTACCTCATCCAGACCATCGCAGTATTTACAAGAAATTTTTTTACGGT